TCTGTACCTGAGAAAAGGAAGGGGCAAGGYGGAGATGCCGCAGGCTCGCAGCAGCACTTCTGTAGATGAGAAGCAGGATTCAATCATTGCAGGAGCGTGAAGGGGGCAGATGGGAGAGAGCAGGGCGCAGCATACTTTTTTTTCTGAAAAAGCTGTGGACACAGCAGCTGCTGTCGCGCTAAGTTACTGTCGGCAAATGTAGACACACCCAAAGGAAAAAAAGGTTTGCGAATAATTGTGAGGACTGTCCCTCTCGGGCCAAAGTTGGTGGGGACATGTCCACGCCAGTCCTTCAGAAAGTTGCGCCTATGTCCTYAGTAGTTTAACACATCTATAAGGAAAACCCAGGAAGTAAAAGCTGACATTCAGAACTCTTGTCTCAYKTTTGGATCTTTTGGAACAGCAAAATAAAAACAATAAATCAAGAAAATCAAACATTGAAAACATATATCTGAGGTGTTTTATTTTGTAACCAGAACAACATCCCATTGGTTTATTTAGAGGGGCGGAGTCTAAAACATGTTCTGTAACCAGCCAACAAAAACTGGTTCCATTCCAGGTTCAACTTCTGGGTTCAGTTACGAGGTCTGTTGATCAGTTCGAACAGAGAGGACTGTGGGTGTTGTAGTCCAATCAGAGAGGACTGTGGGTGTTGTAGTCCAATCAGAGAGGACTGTGGGTGTTGTATTCCAAACAGAGAGGACTGTGGGTGTTGTAGTCCAAACAGAGTGGACTGTGGGTGTTGTAGTCCAACCAGAGAGGACTGTGGGTGTTGTTTTCCAAACAGAGAGGACTGTGGGTGTTGTAGTCCAATCAGAGAGGACTGTGGGTGTTGTATTCCAAACAGAGAGGACTGTGGGTGTTGTAGTCCAAACAGAGTGGACTGTGGGTGTTGTAGTCCAACCAGAGAGGACTGTGGGTGTTGTATTCCAAACAGAGAGGACTGTGGGTGTTGTAGTCCAAACGGACGATTGTGGGTGTTGTAGTCTAATCAGAGAGAACTGTGGGCGTTGTAGTCCAAACAGAGGATTGTGGGTGTTGTAGTCCCAACAGAGAGGATTGTTGGTGTTGTAGTCCAAACAGAAACGACTGTGGGTGTT